CACTTGGTAGCCCAGGCTGGCCTCGAACTCACAGAGATCCGCCTGCCTCTGCCTCCCGAGTGCTGGGATTAAAGGCGTGCGCCACCACCGCCCGGCCTACTATTGGTTTTTAATCAAAAGAATTAAATATACGTGTGTGCTCACAAGCTTGGGGATGTGGGGGCGTATGTTTTCATTTTCTTTGAATACGTGCGTATCGTGTATTGTCTGTACAAGTGCATGTTTGTGTGTGAGTGCAGGCTTATATGCCATGGCATTGTGGAAGTCAGAGAAGGATGTCAGGTGTCATTCTTCACTTTGCGCCTTGTTATGGTAGCTGGCCCACAAGTTCTGGGGATCTCCTGTGCTTTCCATCTCACCATAAACACAGTGGAATTACAGATATGCCTTTTCATGCTTTGCTGCCTTCTTTTTTTTTTTCTTCTTGAGACAAAGTTTCGCTATGTAGCCCTGGCTGGCCAGGAACTCTATGTAGACCAGGCTAGCTTTAAACTCACAGAGAAGGTGCAGCAGTATACCTGGCTGTGTCTATGTTTCACATAGGTTCAGGAGATCTGGACTCAAGTCCTCATACTTGCATGTCAAATACTTTTACCTCCTGAGCCATCTCCATAGCTCTGGTTCGTTTTTTTGAGGCAGGGTCTCACTCCGTAGCCCTAGCAGGCCTTGAATTTTCTAGATAGACAAGACAGGTCTTGAACTCAGAGCTCTCCCTGCCTCTACAGGTGTTGGGATTAAAGAATTGCACCACTACACCCAGGCTCACAGCTTTTAATTATTTAGACTGAGGGAATGAGCCTCAGGTCTTGCACTTACAAGACAAGAACTCTACTAATACCAACAGGGATTGAGTTAGATTTCTTTTATAATACTGTCTTTCGTTAGTTCTAGTTTTGTAGTTTAAGTATTCAATAACGAACTTTTTAATTAATGAGTTCTAAACCTCAAAGAAATATTAATGGATAAAGATTATGAGCTGTGAGAAGACTAAGACTTGAGACCTTGGAGGTATGAAGGAGCTGCTGAAACAACTCAGTGATCTGAAGGTGGAGCTGTCTCAAATTATGGTTGACATGTGTCTCTGTGCTAAGCTTTCCAAGTTCGGAGTTGTCCACAAATCATTCGTGTCCTCACCATCATTAACCAGACTCAGAAAGAAAACCACAGAAAATTCTACAGGGACAAGTACAGGCCCATGGACCTCTGGCCCAAGAAAAAATGAGCCATGCACCACTGAGCCCAGCGAGAAACTGAAGAAAGGGAGTAATGGCTATACCCACTGTGCAAGTACTTTATCAGGGCCTGGGGTCCAAAAACAATAACACATAAAAAATGAACTGTGTGTGGTGGCACATACCTATAATCTAAGCCCTTGGGATTTGGGTGTGGATGCAGGAGGACAGGAGTTCAAGGTTATCCTTGCCTACATAGCAGGTTTGAGGCCAACCTGGGCTACGTGAGAGCTTGTCTCAGTACAGACAAAAAGAATATGAAGCTATGTGAAGATCATGGAACTATGAGAGGAGCAATGCTTTCTCCGTTTCCCTTACTGCTTTGTCTGCCTAGCTCTACCTAAGGAGGCTGCAGAAAGACTGACATAATGAGGAATAAGAATTGCAGGGATTGCCGGGCGGTGGTGGCGCACGCCTTTAATCCCAGCACTCGGGAGGCAGAGGCAGGCGGATCTCTGTGAGTTCGAGGCCAGCCT